TGCACATTTACTTCACGTCTGTTTACAGAACTGTATGCAAACTCACTGTGTGTTGCTAAATAAAAATACTTCTTGTGGCAATGTGAGTATGTGATCTAAGTAAAAATGAATTTAACACAAAAACATGGAGATGACGCACCCTGAGGAGGCTCTGGCTTGTTCGTTTGCTGTTTCTGCAATGGCCCTGACGCCCCTCTGTCTGACGGGCGGCAATAACTCGCATATAGGTAGGTGCCAGCCAGAGACTTGGCCAGTCCCAGTCTTCTGACTGGCTGAGATCCTTGTGGCTATGGCAATAGTTTCTGATTGGTTCATCAAAACCAGTGAACTTACAAATATTGTGAGCCCTGAAGAACCCATGACAAACTGCATATCAGGTCATTGCCCTGGAGAAGAGCAACTGCAGTCAGGTTAGCTGTCTAACGATCTAGAGTCCAATAGGGAACGTTGTGGAAATGACCGCGTGACCTTTGGAACGAACACGCCGCCTTCTGTCAGACCCCCCAGATTTCCAAACGTCCTTGGGAAAAAACTTTTCAAAGCCATCTCTGCACACGGCTGCATTTTAACACATGAATAATTTTGACCAAATATACGAAGATGACAACACTGCTCTTTGTGATGGATTACTTTTCTGCAAGCGGACTTTTCTACAGCGGCTGAAATGAGCCGAGCCCCAGCTGGGAGGGACATCAATCTAAAAATATACTTTATAGTTTGGAAAATGGTCGGCAGTGATTTAAATCCCACTGAGTCACAAAGGTCACAAACTTCTCACTGTGGCTTCAGGCTTGGAATCGTTTCACGCAGCCTGGGATTCAACCCATCTGCTGTGACGTCGCTGACTGGGCCCTGTTCGGCTTCACGGTCTGAACCCGCAGAAGGTTTCTGCTCCTCCCGCCCCAGTGGCCAAACAGCTGCCCTGTCATCGGCCTTCGCTTGTTTCCTGCTGTAAACAGCCACTGTGTTGGCTATGTTTAGGCAACTGATACGACTTGGTTAAAGTCAGAGAGCAATTGCAGTAATGGTTCAGAGAAACCAGGTGGCGGGGTCAGAGGGCAAACATTGGTCGCATGTCAGACGCTTCGTTCATTCTCTGCACCTCAGAAACTTGAACCTACATATACGTTTTATTATTATTTTTGTTACTTGAATACACGTCGATCACATACTGCTGTACACATTTCAATCCTTCACATTGATAAATAACATAAAAGCACCACACCTCAGCGTTCTGCAGGTCATCTCAGCTGTGCGCCCCATCTCTCTCTCTGGACAGTGCTAGACCGGCTGATACGGTGGACCAGCCAACACCTCTGGCCATTTAAGCTGATTCTGATTCTGAAGATGATCCTGTGTTTCATGAGTGCAACCAACTGTGTGGTTCACAGGTCAAAGTCACTTTATCTTTTGCATCAGAGCTGATCTCAGTTTTTCCTATATGAACAGTCCATGTCCTCTTGAAATGACCCAGCACTGCTGCGTGTGACCTCCCCCTGCAGCTGCCTTCAGATGAGGGGATACAGGTCTGGAGTCAGCTGCCCCCTGCTGTCACTGCACATGCTACTGCCTGCTGCAGACTCACAATCTCTGCACAGACTCCAGATAAAGATCCAACTTACATAAGGAATAAACATATTGTTGCTTTAATAATGTTTAGAGTATTTCACTTAAGTGTGAGCTGTATGATGACACAGGCATGTCGGTCTGTAATCATACCGTCCTTTCTTGATGTTCAGGTTTTTGTGTGAATGTATATATTGTGCGCTTTATCACTTTAAACTGAACAGAAGAGCTTCATCACCACAGTGATCATTAAATCATGTTCAGAAGCTGCTGGTCGGAGACCACAGGTGTCTGAAGGGAGATCGTAGACGTGAGTGTGTTACCCTGTGTGAGTATCTGTGCCTTTGTGTTCATGGACGGGTAGAGGTATGTGTGTGTTTAAGTGGATGCTAGTGTGCGCTGTATGTATGCCAGTTTTCTGTAGAGTGCGATAAAGCATTTTTAAATGACAGAACACCTCTGTGACTGAACAGGGACACGCACTGTGCACCCCCTGTCTTCATCTATTTCACTGTTGTGTATGTACAGTAGTTACTGTGCGTGTGTGCGCACACGCAGCTCCACCATACGTTCTCTGTAGGAGCTGCTGCTTAGCTTCATTGTTCTGTATCTTCTTCTCTCTCTCCTCCCTTTGTTCCCGTCTTCCCTTTATCTGTGCTGCTGTTCTGCTCCTTCCATCTTCATTTGTCTTCCCTCACCTCTTCCTTTGTTCTCTTCTTTTGTCCTTGTCTTTGTCTTTCTCTGTTTTGCTCTCTTCTGCCCTCTTTTTTTCTCCTGTCCAGTCTCTCTCTCTTCCTTTGTTCTCTTCTTTTGTCCTTGTCTTTGTCTTTGTCTTTGTCTCTGTTTTGCTCTCTTCTGCTCTCTTTTTTTCTCCTGTCCAGTCTCTCTCCTCCTGTTTTTGTCCCTCCCTGTTGCCCTCCCATCTCCTCATCTCTATGTCCCACACTTCCCATTCTTCTGTTTGTCCTCTTCTCTATTGTTTTTTTTTTTGTTCTTCTCTTTTCTTGTCCTCTCTGCCCTCACCTCTTCCTCCCTTTTCTACCTAAGATATAGATCCTATGATGCTCTCTGATTCCTCCCTTTTCTACCAAAGATATAGATCCTATGATGCTCTCTGACAATGGCATCAATGAAAATCCTCTATATTTAACAACCTCTATCTCTGGAAATTCCTTTGCTGCTTGTCATTAGCACAATCAGCTCTACACTTGCAAACACACACACATGCCTACACACGTGTGTGTGTTGTCATTTTCCTTGACAAAAAATGGATACGGTTATTGGATTGCATGTTTATGTGAGTGTTTGTGTGAATGTGTTATTTAACTTGGCGTGGCTGCTGATCAGATGGATGCATGTTGTGATGTGACACAACTGCAGCGCAACAAAAGAGCGAGGGAGCAGCTGAGCCAGGAAGATGAGAGTGAGAGAGAGTGACATGAAAGTGATGAGCAAAAAAACGGACGACATGAAAGTGATGAGCAAAAAAACGGACGACATGAAAGTGATGAGCAAAAAAACGGACGATTAAGAGGATGAGTGTGAAAAAGAGGGAGTTGTAGAGGAAAGGGATGACGAGCAGAGAAAACATGAGTGAGTGATGAAGATAAAGGAGGGGAAGAACAGGAAAAGCCTGCAGCTTCTACTTGGTGGGTTTTTCCATCTGTATCAAGCTGCTGTCAATAAAACATAAAAGCTTCTTGCACAGATGTTTCACGTAAAAATCCTCAAGCTATTTATTAGTTGATTAGTCACAGAAAATGTATTTGTACATTTTTTGTCCCTGACTGATTTTTGTCATTTTTTTAAACTATAAATGCCAAACACGCACCAGGTTCCTCAGTGTGAAGATTTCCTTTGTTTTATGTGATAGTAATATCTGTGGGTTTCAGTATTTTTATATTCAATATTAGCTGATATTTTATAAACCAATCAGATCTGTGCCTTGCTTCCTCAAATTGCATTGTTCTTCTTTTCCGGTAGGCTTTTAATGTGAAAGACTTGTTGGCGGTGTTGATTATCATTGACAGCAGTTTGTTTTTGTAATTAATGCATTAAAACAGCATTTCTGTGCATCTGATCTGATGGAGTGTGTGCTGTGAAAGTGTGTACTATGATGAATTTAACGTCGTCGGACAGATTCCTCCAGCCCCTCTAGCCTTTATTTTTCATGGGGTATTTGAATGTTTGCAGGACTGTGAAGTGTGCACTCCTCTACCAGTTTCTGGAGGAGTCCCTGTTTGTCGATGACAGCCTCTTCTCTCTTTGCTAGTCATTTAGTTCTGCCCTTTATTTTGTGTGTCTGTGCAGCACTTTGAAACAAAACCTGCCAAACAATCCTCATAAACTCCTTATGTGTGTGTGTAGCTCACTCTGTGTGTGTCCACTGGTTAGATATGTGGTTCTCTGATGTCAGGATGTACAGACTTCATGAGAAACTTAAAGGACCAGTGATGTGGTATTTTTGACTTCAGTCCTCCCTCTTCTCCACCATCACAGCATATCAATACAGGAAATTACCTGAGCAGTTGGTATGATAGTCCATAACTGCAAAATTCTGTTTCTTCTACATAACTGATTCCCAGTAGTTTGTGCTATGACAGCCGCTGCCGCTGCAGATGGTTGGCTTTAACGTTTTCATCTCCAGTCCAGCTGTGTAGCTGCTGTCAGGCAGCACATATCTGATTATAATTAAACTGCATTATGTATAGATCAGCCAGCTTCTGTTTTTTCAGGTTTTCCACAAGGTGTAAAATTCCTGAACCTCGACAGACAAAAAGTTAACCTGGACATTTTTGTTCAGTTGGAACGTATCGATCTTATACACTTCTCTAACGTGAGAGCTGTGGTTTGTGTAAGATGAAGCCTGACTGAACAAGGCTCAGATCTCCAGGTGAAATGTTGCATTAGTTCCGTATTGCACTGCGTTTCAGACCGTGGGAGTGCGGACAAAGAGCTGTTCGGTGCAGGCTTGATAATGTGTTTGTGATGGTTAAGGTAAGGGGCCGTTTCAGTCAATGTCCTCACAAATGAAGCTTTACTAATGTGTTTATGTGTGGGTGTTGTGTGTACCGTATGTGCGCGCTGCGGTGTCGTGCCATCAGCGTTCAGCATATGAAGTTTTGACCTGTGCATGAACTCACCGCTGACATTTACGAGGTCTTTACCCTGCTGTGTAAAACTCACATTCACATAATGAGCTCAGCCTGTTTTGTTTGGTGTGTGAAGCACTGAGAGCTGTTGTCTTTAACCATATACAGTATATTATTAAAGTCATTTGTTTATGCAAAGGAAAGAAGGCAGGCACATTAAAAGTCAGTGGTGGGCGGTACAGTACATCATTAATAAATAAATACTTGGGGGTGTCGTAGAAAGAGACTCATAAAGGGAGACGTTGTTTTCATACTGATTAATGAGCCCTCTCTGTCCGGCAGGTGCGGAGGCAGAGCTTTTGTGTGACACGGCTCCTGTGGTTGTTTGGAGACTCATCGAGGCCATCGAGAAACACGGTGAGAAAACACAGGCATAAACACAGACTGAGCATGTTCATCACAAAGCCTCCTATTTTAAAGGATTAGTTCAGTGTTTTGCTTTGTCTGAAACTGAGATGAGAAGACTGAGGTCTAGCTCATGTCTATGCGTTAAGTACTGAGCCGGAGACAGGATGTGGTTAATCTAGCTTAACATTAAGACTGGAAGTAAACTACCAACAGCAAATAAACCCACCAACACCTCTACAGCTTGCTAATTAACATATCTTGTTTATTAACCTCTACACAACTGTCACCAACTACTAACTGTCTGTCTGTGTAGAGGTTAAATAAACAAGACAGTTTTAACTGCTGGGATTTTGATATGTTTACATGGTGCATTTGGAATTTGAACACAGCCGGGTTAGCTGCTCCCCTGCCTGTTTATGCTAAGCTATGGTAACCACGTCCCGACTCACAAGGCTCATGTCCATTGTCAGATTTCACCATTGGAAAAATGGGGGAAAAAAATTCAGCTGAATTAAAGCTGCTCATTAAACCAAGAATCATCCTCCATCCACATAAACCATAACAGTTAAATGTTTCTATCGGGGTCAGCTGATGCCCTGGAGCTGTAACTGCAGACGTGACACTGTGTGTAGAATGTAATTTACACACCAAACGTCTCAGATCTTCAGGCTTCTTCTGCTGACTTTGCCTCAGTTCATTTACCTGTGTTTTGTTGCAGGTTTGAACAGCGAGTCTCTGTATCGGGCTCCTTCGGCCTCCGGGGGACCCGCAGAGCTGCGGCACGCTCTGGACTCAGGTACACGCCAGGAAATCAGTCGGTTGCTTATTAGCTGTTGCTTGTTTTTATTTATAAAACACACTTATAGAATAAAACGTCTTGTAACAATCATCAATAATTATGTCCAGTGCAAAGATTTAGCATCCTGTCACTCTTAAGTCTACTCAGATGCTTCAGAGTCAAAGTTTTGGAATCGATGATGGTACAGAGATGAACATTCAGCAGCAAAATACCAAGACTAACACAGTTGCATACTTCATGTCTAAAAGCTCTGAGAATAAGAGCGCTGACAGTGCAGTAGTGCAGCATGGAAGCAACATGTGGCTCATCACCACCACCTGTAGCTCCAGACTCTCACCTCCTGCTCTCCTCTTTGTATTGAGGCCAGTACAGGCGTCTGCTGACGCGGTCCTAGGCTCTTATTAGGCTGCTGAAGCTGAGTGGAGCCTGAGTCACTCAGACAAAAAAAGTTGGCCAAGTTTGAGTTGCTGAAGTTCAGGGCTGGTGCCACCAGGGAGTGCTCTGACTCTGTACTTTATTTTGGGACGAGGGAGGGGGACTCACAAAATCAGGCTTTGGACTCCACTCAGAGGAGAAGAGAGAGAAGCTGACATCACCCACAGCACGATGCTGTTGGTCAGAGACAAAGCTTTAGTTCACATATTGCAACAGCCCTCTGTTCTGTGGCATGATATGTCCAAGAAATATAGACTTTCTGACTGGACTGTGGTCTTATTCTAACTCACCAGCATGTCTGCACCAAATCATTAGTTTGTTACTCCTGTGCTTTTGGTCCTGTGACCAGCCCATTGTCTCCATATTCAGGCTCATTTTGTGTTGATGTTACAAGTAAGTCAGTATGGACAAGCATTTATGTGCTGACACACATACTGAATGTGGTACTGTGGTTGCCGTGTGATTTAGCACCGTTACAGTTTTATAAATTTAACAGTACTGTAGTTTTTAAATCTTTGCTAAGGTTAGAGCTGTATTCACTACCACTAAATGTGTGGATGGTTTCACTGGAAAGTCTTCTTTGTGAATGTTGTTGTATTTATGTTTTTGATTAATATCTTTACAGTTGTTCATTTAATTAATTTATTTTACATAGTAATTTTGGATTTTAATCCAGACTTAAAGATTTTTGGTCAGTCTCTCTCTCCTCTCCTCTTGCCTGAACATTTTTCTCTCTTTACCTTCGCTCTTCTCCTCCTCTGTCCTGATCAGTCTTCCATCCCTAATCCATGTTCTAATAATTATATGGATTAATATAGGCTAGTTAGATTTCAGTGGCAGTTGCACTATGATCTAAATTAGCAGCTGCTATAAATTAAGTCCTCCCCCATTCGCTGCTCTCATGTGCTTCACTCAACAGAGGTTAACTGCACCTGTGAATGTGACTTGCCGTGTTTTTTTACAGGCTTCCCGGGTGAGTCACTCACTGTTTGGTTAATTGATTAATTGGCCATATTCATTTGCTGTGGTGAAAAAGATTCTGATGTGGCGGGACGCCACTAAGAAGTGTTAATACAAAATATTATGAATATGGCAGGGGGCCCCTTTTTTTTTTTGCCGGTGGAGTGACAGCCAATCAAAGCTGTCATCTGAAATGTCATCACGTAACTTATTAAAAACAACCTTACCAGAAAAATGACCAGTTGTTCACGCATCAGCGTGATAATATCTACCAAAAATCACAGACATGACCTCTGGGAAGAACGTATCTGATCTGTACTTTTGGTTTTTATTTGGGCTCCTGTCCCATCGACTAACATGGAGGAGGGGTTTATGACCTGTACTGAAACCAGCCACCAGGGGGCGATCGACTTGCGGTGGCTTCATTTCTGGGAGCTGTCAAGCTGTCCGAACTCTGTACAGTCTATGAGCTGTACTGGAGCTTTTCTGTAGGAGATTTTTCAGTCAGAAATTAAAAAAAAAAAAAGTCTGACGTTAGTTTGGTATGATACCCCAAACATCGAGTTCAGTCGGCACTAAATCAGCATGTTGGCAGCTCTGAGAGGTAGCACTTCAAACACTGTTTGTGTTTCAGTTCCATAAAAGAGCATAACAGATCAGTAAATTGCACAAAGCACCAACTCTGCCAGCCTGTGATCACTGTAGAGGATCCAAAGGGGAATCCACACTCCAAGTTTTGTTTTCAGTGTTTGGAGAGAAATAATCCTCCTTGAAGTTTGCTCATAGGTTTCAGTTGGAGTGGGGGAGCTTTATCTGGGCAAATAGAGCGTGGCTTTATAGGATGTCTGCTGCTCTTTAATCAACTTTCACGCCATTACTGGGGAGGAGATGGCTGAGTTTTTACTTACAGTCTCTCCTGGCTCATAAAGTCCAGTAAAGCTCAGATTCAGGTTGTATGAGAATGGGAAATTCCCTTTATGTGTTTTATCTTTTCATTTGATTTAACAATCAGGATCATGAGACTCAAAATGAGGATAAATCAGTTGTTATAATGGAAATCTTTCTCAGTGCATGACCAATTTTCTGCCGGAAAATCCATCAACCCCGCAAAACCAGTTCAGTAGATTGAGCTGGATTTAGTGTAGAAGAAATTTAGTGCACGCACACTCGCACCTGGCTTCCTTGGGCTGTGGTGTGGGAGGTGAGCATGGGGCCAAAGATCTCCACACAGTCACAGTAACTGAGTGAACGGAGCTGACATGTGGGCACTCAGAGGAACGTAGCACACAGGCTGGACACATACACCCACATGTACGTTGGGACAGAATGGGTGCTGCATGAGAGAAATCCCACACATGCTATGGTGGAAAATTCAGAGAGATGCAGCTGCTGATATGCCACGGTCATATCAGCTTCACCTGTAGCAAGTGGTCTAATTGGCATGGACAGCTTCTATGGAATATATATAAACAGTGGTAGATTTGTGCTGACACGGGCTGCAAGGTTGCAGGAACACACACGGAGGAAGGGTTTGGCCTGAAAGGCTGTTGAATGTTGGAGGGCAGGCAGGGTGGTCTGATGTCTGTGTGAGGAGACCTGAGGAAAGACAGCGGGAGGCCAAAGAGAAAGAAAGAAACGTCTCTTCGGCTTTGTCTTGATGCTACGTATCAGAATATCATTTTCTGTCGTTCCTTGGCTGTTGTCGCCAGGATTTTAGAAATCCAACATGAAAGTCTAAAATCTGTTCCATGTGGCTGGGAGTAAAATTCTAGTGGAAACACAGTGAAATCTTTGACGTATTCATTTATTGGTCCAATGGCAGCAACGTTATCATTCATTTAGGTCTGAAAACATTGAAATCAGCCTGTAAAATACCAAGCATGTTGTAGAGTGTTCCATTTCCTGTTAGTATCTTAACTTCTCCACAGTATACTGTGGCAATATGTATGAAGTACGTACTGTATAGAGTTAACATGAAGTATGCATCTGGGACGCAGCATAACAAGATACTAGACACATGTCGTCGTCTCACCCGGCACACAGCTCTCTGAACATCTTCCCTGTTGGTTCTGATGACCTGTTACTGGCCATCTGCAGGGCTCTGTAGATGTGTTGCGCAGGGCACCAGGGCTATTAACAACCAGAGCACTGAATCTCTAAAAAAAACTTTTACCGGTACTAACTGTTATAATCCTGTGGCTTTGGCTTCCTGCTTCGTGTTTACACATAGCGGCCCCTGTTTTACCACTGATATGAGCACAAGCTTTTTACACTGTGCTAGATTTCTCCAATAAACTGGCCTGATTTAGACCAGCCTTTCTCTCATGTTTTCACTTTGATCACATGGAAAGATTTAGACACAAGTTTAGAGGCCTGAGGATTTTATGCTCCACCTTGTAACTATAACAGGATAAATAATTTCATTTAGATTTAATAAGATCCTTTAATAGTAATATTTAACAATTTAAAAGGAAAAGTACCACTGGGTCCATTGTTGTTATTGTGAAATATTTTCATTTCTATATGTTTTTAATAACCTAGTCTCAGTTATGGTTTTCTTTTCTGACGTCCTTGGTCTCTGGATGTCGTGACATTAGTGGAGTTAGTGCAGCAGCTCCGCCTGCTGTAGGTCAGAGTTGCATCACTCATCACAGGAACATTGGTCAAAAGTGACAAAACACTGAGTCTCTTGTTACCTTCTACTTTGAGGTGAGGTAACTAATTAATGGCAGGCAGTGTGTTACAGAACTGGTTTTGTATGTTTGATGATCATCGTTAGAGAGTGATGCAACGTGAACCGTTGTGCAGGAGGAGCCTGGGAGCTGCTGCAGAGCTTTGCCCGTCTCTGTTGTGTGTTTGTGCTGCATGAGTTATGGAACAGTGTTATGTAACAGGGGGTTGTTGCATTGTACAGCCTCACATCCTGTCTAATTAAACCATATTTCTCCACTAAACTGTGTGTGCATGCAAGTGTGTGTGAGCGACAAAGGCCGAGAATGCTTTCGAGAACATTACCTCATCAAGTTGACCTCCGATTGGTACACTGCCCGAGCGTTGCCATGGTGATAGCTAGCTGTATTTAACTGGTTGGTTCTGCCGTGCCCACACAGCGCTCATTGTGCTGGTCCAGTAATTCTGCCTGTGTGATGGTACTTCTATTTCTGTGAGGACCAAACTGATCTTTACACCTTGAAGGTGAAAAGTGCAGACACTCTGACTAGTGAGGACATGTTTTGGACTGTAAGGACATTGCAACATGTCCTCATTTTGCTATGTGTCCTCTCTTTTAACAAATACCTTCAACCATCCCAAAGTCATAATGTTTTTTGGACAGAGAGGACATTTTTTAATGAGGACACTTTGGGGAAGTGTGGACACCTTTTGGACAGCGAGAACATTTTTGGAAAATAGGGACACTTAAGATAGTGGGGACATTTGTTGCACACTGAGAATATTTTGGAGAATAAGGACATAGTAAGAGCATTATTAGACAGTGAGTAAATGCTTCAGAGGAGACTGAGCGTGTTTCAGACAATGGTGACATCTTAGAAAGAAAGGACATTTTGGAAATCGAGGACATTTTTTAGATGGTTGGCACATTT